TGGTGAAGATGGCGATTCGGCACGAGACCGAGTTCGAAGCGGGCAAGGTGACGTCGCCGCTGAAGGTGGTCCTCCTTCTGGGCATTTTCCAGGAGGTGGGTACCAGGATCACTTCCATCCTTCAGGACGAGGAGAAGCAGGAAAAGGCGAGGGAGTGGGCCTGGCTACAAGCTGGGGCTACGGCGCTGGATCCCCTGTGGACGTACTTTCAGTGGAACACCACAGCCAAGAAGCAAGAGCCCAGTCCACATCCTCCCATCAAGAACAGCGAGGTCCGGAAGCACTTGGACTACCTGGCCCTCCATCTCTCCGATGCCAACGTCCTCACTCGGTTCAAGGCCACGCGAAGGATGTCAAGCACGGATCACTACGCCAGTGCAGTCTTGCCGTTTTTCTGCGCCCTCAGCCTAAGAGGCGAGATTGCCACGACATGTCATGCGGCCATCAGAGCCCTTGTCAACTGCTCGGCGCTGAAGACGGTGCTTACGGATCAAGCCTGCTCGGGGGGAACGACAGCCCCTAGCAGCGGAGCTGGAGAAGGCCTACCTCGAGGTGCCCTACACACACTGGCAGGCGCGAGAGCAGAACTGGCGGCGGACGGATCGTCGGGCGCAGCGCGAGGGGGGCAAGGCGAGCGAGGGGACCGAGCAGGGCCAGCAGGACATGGATGCGTAGCCTACTCAGTTCAAGTTCGTGCTTTTCCTCTGCAGGAGCCTTCGCCTATCAGATTACAGAATCCACATCAGGTGTGTTATCTCAACTCCGTCGCTCAGGCTTTGAACTGGCTCGCAAGTGTGGCCACAGATGCTGCCTCCTGCACTGGCAGGGCTCATGCTGCTCTTGCCTTAGTTCAAGGGGATGCCAGCAGGTATCTTCCACAATGCTATGCCTGGCATCCGATCCTTCGGGGGTGGGCTCACTTGAGTAGGCAGCAGGATGCCTGTTCCTTCTGTGCGCATTTTCTGACGTACGCCCAACCTGGGGCGATGCAGGGGGAGTGGGCAGCGCGCCTGACGAACCCACATGTGGTCACTGATTCAGGTCCCTTGTTGGCTCCGCTGCCCATTGAAGCACAAGGCACGACATTGCAAGACGCCATTGACAGTTGGTCCATGCAGCACTCCATTCATGCTCTGACACGGCATAGTGGGATTGTGCTGCTCCAGCTGAAGCGTTACTACTTTCATGCAGGCTCTGCTGTCAAAAATCGTGAGCCTGTCCTGATTGAGCCGGGCCGACTTGTGACCCTACCTGTTTTCCGCTATGACAGCGGGACTGAAATCGAGCAGCAGCAGTTTCGGGTAATCTGTGTCATTTTCCATTTAGGGGATTCGAGTGGTCACTACCAGACTGCATTGAGCTACTGTGCACAATCAGTGTCGCTGGGCGCTGCTGCTGACGTGTCTTGTGCTCCATGGGAGTACCGAATTTGCGATGATAGACGGAGACCCAGAAGGGCCAAGGCGGCTGATAATCAGTGCATCAATCACAATGCTTACCTTATAGGACTGATGCATTGCCCGCGGCGCTGCGGGCACTGACAGCTGCTTGAGAGTCTTTGCGGGCTCCACACACCTGCTGAAAGTTTACTTGAAGCCGGTACGATGGGGCGCACCGCAAAACACCTGACCGAATTTACTGCATGATGTTAATGTTGCTCGCGTGGGATGGTTTGTGAAGGTCACTGGCCTGCTTGCTCGCAGCTGTATCTGCTCTGTGCCCTCGGGCTATGCGACTTCCCTGTTACCACTGGTGCTGCCCTGTCGGGGCCTTGCAGTGCCGGTGTACCTTTCTGGATGCTGCTTTGGGCAGTTGTAGTGTCTGCCTCACCTAATTGGTTGTTTGCAGTGACTGGCCCAAGCACAGGCATGGCGTTTGCAGTGCAACTTCCCAAGTGCATATATGTGGAGATGCTAGAAGAATGGCTTCTGCTGCAGGCGTACTCTGGTCTCTGGCGGGAGAGGGGACATGGCTCCTTGCCACCCGCGCTCTCCATGGCAGTGCGTAATGACATCATTCATGCTGCCGTCAGTGCGCTGGAGCCAGAGATTTGTGCTGCCTTCCTGGACTATGCTGAGAGGCTGCAAAGTGAGCTACCGCGGTATACCGAAACCTCCTTTCCGCAGCCATGCACGCTGCCCTCCCAGCCGTCTTCAGCGGAATGCCTTGCACATGCGTTGCTGGGGCAAGGACATGGCTTAGTCTGGACAGGTGCCAGGCAGGTTGCAGCCGAGCTCTCGTACCAGACCGTTCACCGGGCCATTGGCACTCACCTTTCCTTCAGTGTCGGAGCCTATGGACATCGTAGCTTCGTTGGGCTGTTGAAACAGACGGGAAAACATCAATCTGTCTGTCGACTGCTGAATGCTCTGGTCACGCAGATTTATCCGGCACATGTTTGGACCACAGTCACGGTGAATGTGGATCTGCAGGCGCCGACGCACATTGATGTGGCAAATGCTCCATATGCCAGCCTGTTGTTGGGGCTGTCACATTTTGATGATGGTGAACTCTGGGCGGAGCATGAGTCAGGTGCGGTCTACCATGAGCATGGTGGTCGACTTGTACCTGGATGTATGCATCAGGTCAGTGGTGCAGCCCTGCTGTTGAATGCGCATAACACCACTCATGCGGTTCAGCCTGGTGCCAATGGCAATCGCTTCACGCTGGTGGCGCATACCGTCGGGCAGCATCTACACCTGTCTGAGCAGGATAGAGAAACGCTATGGGATCTGGGTTTTGGCATTCCTGGAGCACCTGCTCCTGCTTTCCCCTCTCCTTACTTGAGTGGCTGAATACGGCTAGCTGTCTGGAGAGGCCTTTAGGGTATTGGCTGCCCGCTGGGGAGGGCACTTTGGTCGGCTAGGCTCCTCTAGGCTTGGTTCCTGGCCCCGGGGTCCCTAGGGTGTGCCGGGGGTTGTAGGGGTTGCCACATGGTTGCACCTGCTGGGCTGTAATCTGTGTGTTGCTCATGCTGCTGGCAACTGCGTGGCTATACTCTGTCCTACTGTGTTTGTGCTCGATGATTTCAGCAAGTGGTTTTCACATTCCAGTAGGTGGCAGCGCTTGTGCGGATGATGCAAAGGCATCCAGTTTCCAGAACATTCATAGATATATGCCTGGAGTTTGATCTCAAGGCACGCCGGCGGGCGCTTGTGCACCAAATTGACCGTGACGTTGCCTGCCTTTGCAAAAGCCTTTCACAGCAGGCGCATGCCAGCGTCCATGCCATACAGTCATCTTCCGTGTCCCACTCTTGTGCTCCTGCCTCCGTGTGCTCAGGTCCACTTGCGGCGAAGAACGAGACGAGTCGGGTGGGTCCCCGGCTCTTCTGCTGGCTGCTTAGGTACACGTACCGGGCCAGTTTCTTCAGTGGAGCTTTGCACCGGTGTCTTGGGTAGTCGAAGGGTGGGACCCTGCACTTGCGGTGATCCCACATGAAATGCTGCGCTAATCCTGGCTGTGGCAGATGGCACAATGGCAGGCGACCCACATGTTGCTCTGGCTGCGATTCCTTTTCCAGAGGCAGGACAATGACGAGACTGCATTCCCGCAGATGTCAGCGAATGCAGCGCAACTACTGGCGTGGCCGGCAATTGACCAGTCAAGCGGACGCAGACTTTTGCCGCACGGTGGGCTGCGATCGAATGTCACGACCGGGGTACAGTGCATGTTGCTCCCACTGTGGTCATGCGCGTGACAACCAGCATAGCAGAAGATGCAATCGTCAGCAGGCACAACTGCACCTTCACCCGTGGATGGAACAGATGCCAACGATGGGTACTGCTGGCAATGCTGCTGCACGTGCTGGAATGATGTCTGCGGGCTCCAATGATCTCACATTGAACAGTGAGAGGCCATCTGCTTCAGGCTCTGGTTCTGCTCAGGTGATTGTCATTTCTGATTCTGAGCAGTCGGAAGCGTCCAGTGATGCACCTTTGGCGCCGGCGGAGTTGTCTGCTGCTACAATGCTACAGGGAAAGTCGACAGAGGATGCATCCACTCAACAGGCAGCATCAGAGGGAGTCAGTGCTGATGATTTTCATATTCCAGATTCCACGGAGCATTTGTTATGCCTCTCAGAGATGGATTGAGAGGTTTTTGAGTTGTCGCCGAAAGGAGAGGCGCAATAGCCGCTGCGACCTCGGAGTCGCCGGGCGTGAAACGCCTGTCTCGTCGCTATGCTTCTGACTTGGACGGAGCAGCGTGTGCAAGTGCAAGTACTGCTGCTGCTGCTGCTGCTGCTGCTGCTACTGCTACTGCTACTGCTACTACTGCTGCTACTACTACTACTACTGCTGTCGCTACTGCTACTGCTGCTGCGACTGCTAGTCCTGTTCCTACTCCTCCTCCTGCTCTTACACTCCTGTTCCTGCTTCTATTCCTACTCCTGCTCCGACTAGTACTACTACTGGCACTACGACGACGGCTACTACTACTGCCAGTCACTGCGACTTCAAGTCCGTGTGCTGCTTCTTTTTCTCGTTCGTCGTGGCATCATTTTCCTTCCAGGCTCACTAACTTAAATACTACGGCATTTGTCCTGCAACGGGGCAGGCCTAATTCTGCTCCAGCCGCGAGCCTCTCGACGTTTGGGCGGTTAAGTGTCACTTTGGACTTTGCGCGACCTTTGCAACTTAAGATGGGGTTTTGTGTTGTATTGCGTGGCTCCCAGGGCACGAAGTTCAAAACGTTGTAGTTGCCTTTCGGGATTTGGCTGGGTTGCTGCTGACTTGTCCATCAACGTATTACTTGCTGGTCTTGGTCTTATTTGCAGTTATCTCGAACTAGGTTGTTCTTTCTCAGAAAGGGGGTTGGCTGTTGATTGTTGGGAGCATTGATTTCACGATCGAAATCTTGAATGACCCCGAAGACCCGTAAGCTTCCGTGCGATTCCTGCAGCCCAATGACACGGGGCAAGCAGTATGGTGCGGCCTCTGCTACAGCTAGTCCACATATAGGCATCAGCTGTCGAGCTTCCAGTGCCCGCTCGTTCTTCACACGCCATCAAACTGTCCTGCAATCTGGCATCTCCGATGGCCACGCTATGCTGTTGGGCTGTGGGGAATTAGGTTTTGGAGTCTATGGACCATCTTCGGTATACGAACCCGGGACCCTTCAAGACAGCCTGGAGTCCATAAGCTTCTCCCCTACAAGCGCTGCATGGTGGGAGCTGCAAACGCCGGAGGCCAAGGGCGGAAAGCCCAGGCCTCAAAACCCCTTCACCCTATAAAGCACCGTGCGCTGCAGGTCCATGCCCTGTCTTGGATCGTGCTTCCTGCGGCTGAGACCTTCCGACGCTGTGGCTTGCTGTTGGCAGGTGCCAGGGAGTTTAGGGCTTTGGGTTTTAGTTCGGGGGACTTTCGCAGGCCAAGGTAGCTGGTTTGAAACGGAGACCGCCACCTTCTGCTTAGAAGCTCAAACGCCCTTTGCCCTGCCTGGGCCTGATAATGGACCTTCAGTTCTACCCCGGAGACAAACCCGAATGTAGTCGTGCAGATGTTGGACTCAACTGAAGATTCTCACTTGTGAGTTCAAGTTGCACATCCAAGTTCGAAGCCTGAAAACCTGTCGGCCGGAAACGCGAATGTCGGCTCCCGAAAGGTTTTTCTGTTCTATTTCAGTCGGGATCTACTTGGCATTCCCTGCACCTAGAAACCCGAAGCTGGTGCAGACCGGAAGCAGAAGCCCCAAACCCGAAACGGCCCTAAACCCGAGGACCCGGCTCTGAAGCCGAAGCCACTTTCGCAGGCAACATTCTCTGCGCCTTCGTTCTGAATTTGGTCATCGCCAACTACCTGACGCTTGCGAAATAAGCGTCAACGACCTCCTTCGCCATGCACAGAACTCCCTAAAGCCCTGGGCCATAAACCCTGACGCTAGCACATTAAACTCTTGATACTCGCCATCTTCTACGAAGCTGTGCGGAGTTCAGGGCCATATTCTTGCCTCAAGCTTTGCTTGTCATGATAGTGATGTTGACAATGGCCATGCTACTGTAGTGATGGCCAGTCGGCATGATGGTGATGATAGTGAGCTGGCAGTGAGAAGAGATGAAGGGTTAGAGCCCACAGACCTAAGGAAAAATGGATCACCAGTGGCCTTCATCTTGACGAACCTGGTGAAGGCACCTGAGTCTCCCAACCAGTCTTTGTTGTTGAGACCCGCTTAACGCTTAAACCCCACCCAACCTGCATTCATTCAACTCAGCCACCCTTGGCGCGCTCACGCATTTCTGTGGGTTGAAACTGCCTACACAGTAAGGCATGCCTCGAAGCCTTGTTATTGTCAGGGAAGGTTCTACAGGAGGGTTCAGGGTTTGGCGTGTGTTCTTGCAGCATGGGGCCTTTCAGGCTTTGGATTCATTGTTTCATGGTACTCGGTGCTGAGAAAAAAGGCCAGGAGGAGGACATCCACCCTGGGACCTCCAGGCCTCCGATTCCGAGTCCCAAGGAAAGAACTCACTCAGCCACAAGGACACCTTGCGAGCCCTTAGGAAGACGCAGAAAACCCATAAGTACCAGAACAAGGAAACTGCAAAGATACAGAAGGGCGGAGAAGTCTTGCAGAATCTTTTTCTGTCAAATCCCAGCTGCCTTCTCGTGAGGACGCCGGGATAGTGATTGTCAGCAGCTTCACTTTCGGCGACAATGTGCCTCTGCCAACTTCAAACCTGATTCTCAAGAGTTTCGGATTGTGGGTGTTTTTGGGTTTTTGGAGGCCCGGGTACTTCGGGTTCGGATTGAAGGGGCCCTGTCCTCCTGCATCCCTGCTGGGCGTTGGCGCACATTTACTTTTTGGAGTCTTTTCGGGGCTTTTTTTCTTTCTTTGGAAAGGGGGGGGGAAGTTCGGTGATTCCGAGTGGGACTTGTTGCAATTTTCGCCTGAGCCACATTTTAAGCCTCAAACCCCATCTCCTCTCAGGCGTGAATGCACTTGGAGGGTCCCCAGGCCCCCCCCTCTTCTCCTCCCTCAGGGACCCTCGTGTTCGCAGCTTGAAAACGAGCATCCTTGGAGCCAAAACTCGACCCAATGCTTCTTTTCAGCCATCTCGATTGCCGCGGTAAGGCCCGGAAATGAGGTTTTCTGAGTTTCGTGGGAAGGGTTTCGTTTCAACAAGAACTCGTACTGACCTGAACGTGGGGAACTTTTGGGATATCGCGGTAAATCCTGTGCCCCTACTTGACGTGGTTGCGTGTAGGCAGCTGAAGCACGCGGGCATATTCCTACAAGCACCTCATCAAAGAGGAGAAAGAAGCACCAATGGTAGCGTTTGTGCACTGTTATCACGAGAGCACGCGCGAATCTCTTTTGTGGTGTGGGCGAAGTCCTTCGAGGCTGCAACAGGAAATACCGAACCCGAAGCCCTGAACACCTCCGACGTTATAGAACCGAACCCGGAAAGCCCAAGTGCTTGTAGAAGGATTTCTAGAACACTTGTAGATGCTTTTGTTTCTATAGATCCTTTTGTAGCGCACGAACCTTTGTCAGGTCAGCCTACAGCAGGCTTGTGCTTTCTCTGCACAGTTGAGCCTCATCGCCCTGTGGTCGACGATGTGGCAGGGCGGCAGAAGACCGTGTTTTGGGTCTCAGGCCGTGCACTTTGTAAGCAACTCTCCCGGCGTTGGGTGGGATTGACGCAAAAAGATGCAACGGCTCTTTTGGCGCCTGAGGGACCGTGGGCCTTGGAGTACTTGCACTTCCTGATGATTTAGGGTGGAAACGTGAGGAGGATGTCGTGTGGTCATGGTTGTGATGGGCATGGCTATGCCGGAATGCTACATCCCCTCTGCCTCCCCCATACCCCACCCTTCCTCCGGAACAGCCTGGCATAAATGTAGCTCAGCAGCAATTGAACCGGAAAACCCTAATTCCTGAACCCTAATCAGAGCCCTCGGACCCAGAATTCGTTTGAGTCTTATATCAGCGACAGGGAGGCTGAGGCAGCTGAGGCAGCCCATCTCTTGAAGCTGCTCACCTATGGCAACGTTTTTGTCGAAATCCGAAATGATGATAGCCCTTATAGCCCCAAATATATCAGAGTACTGTATAAACATAGCACATAGTGCATGTATAGTATTCTAGATGGCCCCGTCATAGTCAAGAAAAGTGTCGATGATGCTCATCCTCAGCTGCATCCATATCAACAGCGGGCTGCAAAGCTTGAATGAAGCCATTCGTCACAATTGCACATCATAGCAAAGAAGAGCCAGTCGATTTGCCCAGAAGAGCGGCAGAATGCATGAACATGATGGCCCCACTCCCACTAACCAGAAGCATGTTATATGCACCAAAGGGAAGTCACAAACGTCAGAACCGTTGATCACGAAGCCACAATCAATCAGAACGGCATGCCACCCCAGGGTAGCTAGGCAAAGTGCGGCCCCCAATAATCGCAGCTTCGTCTTGCTTATTCCTCCAAGCCCTAAGCCTGACCCGAGGAAGGCAAACGCCGCAACTTTCGATCAGCACGGCTTCTGCAAGGGTGTCCTTTGTGAGGGACTGAGACGCTGGTCAGAGGGGATTCGTTCGTTTCTTCTGTTGGTTCTGGGTTTGTAAGGCAGTGGTGATTCCCGAAATAGTCGTTCGTGCACTTGTCAATCATCACTTTTCCATGTTTTTGTGATGCTCTTTTGGTATCGCATCTAGGTTTCACGTGCTGGTACCGTTGCGACAGTCGTAAGGTGATTATGTTTCTTGTTTTCATGTTCGTCTGCTTCATGGTCAACGTCCTCCTCCGTTTGTTGTCATTGTTGAGGATGTGGTTGTGGTTGTGGTTACTGTAGTGGTAGTAGTAGTAGTAGTAGTAGGAGGAGCAGCAGCAGCAGCAGCAGCAGCAGCAGCAGCTGCTTCATGGTCAACGTCCTCCTCCGTTTGTTGTCATTGTTGACATTTGTCTTGCCAGTGTTTGCGGTTGTGGTTGTGGTTACTGTAGTAGCAGTTGTAGTAGCAGCAGCAGCAGCAGCAACAGTAGTAGTCGTAGTAGTAGTCGTCGTCGTCGTAGTAGTAGCAGTAGTCGTAGTAGTAGTCGTCGTAGTAGTAGTCGTAGTAGTAGTCGTAGTAGCAGTCG